AATATCAAACCTTGCCAATCTGGTCTAAGGTACAATGGAAATGTAACAAGCCCAAATAATAGTCTATTGCCTGTCATATTCCTGAATCCCTTATAGTCTCATTCACAAATCACAAAGTGCTAATAAAACCAAATACAAACACAAAATTTTAGAACAAATTTCTCAGTACTAATATAGGTAAGTCCAATGGCAGTCAGCTAAACTTCTCCAGAAAAAAATACACTTTTCAATTTGGAAATACTTAGTACAGAATATTATTCATCAACCATTAGGAGTAACTCATAATACAGTCAAATAATGCTAATTTGGACTAACTGTAGAAGAAAGTCTGAAAAATCAACCAAAAGTCTGACTTAGTCTTAGAGGAATCGTAATGACCTTTTAATATCTATGAAAGAATATATGTTGACTCAACTTAGAATATAAAGTACAGCCTAGTCTTTTTACTTGTCTGGTTTTTTCTTGTTTGTTTGTTTTTTTGCTGTTATTATGTTGTGTTGTATTCTGTCTTTTTGGAGGGAGGGGATGAGGAAAATATCAATTAATTATAAAATCAATTTGTAGTGACAATTCCTTTTATGGAAGTGATACTTATAAAATCCTGAAACAGGTTAACAACTTGTATTCTTAGGTAAACATTCTCCCTTATAACAATACTTACTCCATTAACTTAAAACCTTTACAGAAGCAATTTGCTATTCAAAATTAATCCCTAATCAAATTATTAGAATTTCTAGACTGAATTCCTAACATAACAATTATTTACCAGTAATCAATGCTATTAGCATAACACCAAAAGTGCACTAACCATGTTTCTTACATCTACATATTATGAATTACGAATTTCAAATTCAATAATTCTACAAATGGAGTTTAATGTATTAGTGAAACCTCTCAAAGAACATATGTACGTGAAGATTAAAAAGGGCCTTTTCCAATAGTTCTTAGGAAGATTTTCATCTGAGTATGATGAATCCATAAATACCTTTCAAGATGACATACAACCTTTTATTAAGGCATGTCATAACTTTAACATTTAAAAATACAAGAAACTACTTACCTCCTCATCTGATTCCTCTTCAGCTGAATTTTCAAGTCCTAATTCAATCAGATATAAAACCATGCAGAGTACATGTTCTGACAGATTTTGATGATCCATCAAAATCTTTAAAAAGGGAAAAGATGCCCTGTAATTACTTTTTTCCACAAAACATATTTCACTTAAATATCAAAAAATATTTTAATGCTATAGATGAAAGTAACATAAAATACATATATACATATATATGTGCATGTATGCATATGTACATATACATACATATATATACAAAATTCATAATCAGATACGTAAATAAAGCCATACCTTGGTGAAAAGACAAAAATAAAACCAGTAAAACAGGTTCCCTCTCAAGATCACACAGTATTTTAGGCAATATCCAGAGATATTAGTTCACTGATTTCCTAAAGGTTAAGACATTAAATAATCCACTAAAACCATTATTATAAAAATACTAGTATCTAATAAAGTAATTTAACAAGACTATTTTACATTCTAAGTTGCTGACACTCTTCTCCTGATGACAAAGATATCAGATAAATAAGTTTGTTAAATAGGATAATTCATGCAAATGTGTTTGGCATAGCACCTGGCATATAACTGGGAGCAAAATAATTGTTTATGGAACATTAATATTCTTAAAATCTGTCTCTAAAATTAAAGTTTTGAACCTGAGTGTTTTGTATTGTTGTGTAAATGTGTATGCAATGTGTGGTTTATATGAGTGAGAAAGGAAAAAGAAATGCAAGTGGTTAGGAGAGAGGCTTCTCTGAGGAAATACTGATAAATCTGACCTTATACACGGAATACACAATGCAAGCCTTACACAATTTATGCAGGACTTTGGGGCTAACCTACACCAATCACTCATTCAATATGATGCAACAAACTATTAACCAGAAGACACATAAAATACCATAAGAAAAAAACTGCCTGGCAACTACCATGTTGTCTTCATTATTTTAAAAAAAAAAAGCCATCTGGTCAAACTATGGAAGGGGTAAGAGGAAGAGCTTCTGCGGGGAGAGGCATTGTCAGCTGCAGATGAGACTACAGAGAACAAAAAAAGAGGCCAGTCTAGGCTGAGCCTAACAGAAACTGCCCAAACGGCAGAGGGAGCTTGGAAAGGACTTAGTCACTTAGGAGCTAATCTATTGTGACTAAAAAATAAAGACTTTCAGTTCACTGACTTTCTAATGCTTATTCTGACTACTGAGAAGGCTTTTCCATTCATATTTTGTGTGGCACAGTGGTGAGGAGAATAGACTTTCAAAACCTTTTAAAAACCTGTTTTTTTATACAAATTCTGTATATACTTAGCTATTTGACCTTGAGCAACATCTGGCCTTAAGTTTTCTCATCTTTAAAACTGGAATAGTAGTCCAGAATTATTGCAAGGATTACATGATCACTATCTGTAACTTGCTTCATACAGTATCTAGCAATTGGTGTTCAATAAATAGTAGATAGGTGGTATGGACAGTGGGAGGAGCAAGAACAGTAAGAGGGGACTGAAGGCTGGGAGGCAACAAAGGTCATGTTTTCTAATCCAGTACTTTACAGGGAGGAAACCAAGGCTCAGCCACACACTCCGCTAGCACAAGCAATACTAGAACAGTTTCAAACTTCCAAGGATTGCCTATCATTACTACTCTGCCTCCTCTTAATAAATAGAGCATTACTAGCTAAAATCAAATAAATTTTGGCTTGAAACCCTATGGCATTACATCTTACAGCTTCAAATGAGTAACTTAAGGGCTAAGAAAAGAAAAAACTTTATTAGGTACTACAAAAAAAAATAAAAATCGTTTCTGGGGATTTTTATCAACATGTTCTATATTAAAGTTTTTTAATATTAAACACAGCAGGAGATGAAATGGTTTACTGACATTGATTTTTAGAAAGTTGACCTGCCAATGCAATGTCAATTAAAGGTTCTTCTATTATCATAAAAGTCATGAAAACTATTACAAAGTTGAGATTTTAAAAAATTTGTTCACAATAATCTTATAACAATATTGCCTTTCTATTTTTGATGAAATATTATTTTTACAGTAAGCAAATAAAAAGGTTGAAAAAATTTAACTTGAAAGGACACAAATCATTTGCAGTAGGCTTGTTTAATTTTTAAATCAAGAATTACTGACATTTATTATCTGTAAGATGTTACGGAAAAACCCAAAGAAACTTTTTGCCCAACCCAATATATGTACTTAGCTTCACTATCTGAACTAGTTATTTAATCTCTAAAACTTAAAAATCATATCTGAAAAATGAGAATAACAACAGAACTTTCACTCATAAGGAGGTTTCCTAGAATTAAACAAAGTAATGTATATAAGTGTATATAAAGTATTTGAAACAAAATCTGGCACTAAGTAGACATTCAAAAAAAATCCATTTGTAAAAAATCAAAACCACAAATATCTTTTTAGTAAGAAAAAATATTCTTTTTTTAATGAAAAAACATTTTAAATCATTTTACTGAATAATTCTCTTACAAATTAATGAAAATAAACCATTCAAGATGTTTTTTTGAGGCACATGTCTAAAATTTTAACAGGAGTAATTTTTACAAGTAAAACAAAAAACTGGTCATGGGGTAGAGTTAAAAAGAATAGGGGGTACAGAAATCTAAAAGTTATATTTGTTTACACAGCAAACAAGAAAAAAACTAAAGTGTCTACTTAACTAAATTTAATTTAAGTAATTTAAATAATGCATATGTAGTAATTGTAAATTTGCCTAACAAATAGGCTTACTTTTTTTAATTTAATTTTTAATTTTTCAAATTCTAATTAGAAAGAAGAAACAATAGTTTTTTTTGTATCTAACTGTATAATGTTTATCGTGTCTAGTTACTTTATAAATGTCTATAGTTATTTTACCTATATAACATGAGTATAGTTTGTCTTTCATTTCTTATCCAGGTTAGAACATAAATATGCCTGTTATATATATATATACACATACTCCATGGTACTATGTATACAATTTTTGAGTACACAACTAATGTTAGCCAAATAAGTAAGTCCGTTCTGTGTGAGAAGACCCAAGGATAAAACCAATTCTAGGTAACAAAACAGTAAAAGCATCACCTTTTGAGTTTCTAAGGTATTTAACGAAAGAAAATCCTTAATGGTGTCACTTAGGAGCCCATTCAAATCCCTCCATGTCACATTCCTGATCAGAGGAAGAAAGCCAAGAGAACACGCCTAAACACAGGGTCACTGGCTCCTATGGCTGCCATGTTAGTTTTGTCATTTTAGTGGATTCTGGTGGTTGTTTGGTCCCTACTGTTCATTTCATTCTTCCTGTACTCACACAATATTTCACTTCTTGTGGCACAGAAACCATAAAAAAAATTCCTATCTGAAACTGATAATATGAATAGTTTCCCCCAAAAAATGGTATAGCTGTTATTTTCAACTTAGATTTGAAATTACATAAAGAATACAATTCATATATATGTGATTATGACATATCCTCACACATCTTAAACATATAAATACACTTTACTTTATAAATAGTATTTTTATGTAAATATTACCCTTTAGCACTTTTATTTACAAATTATGGTAATAAATTCTAATCTGAGTCTTTCTATTTGAATTACTACTGTACCTTGTAAAGCAGAGTGAATAGCACAATGTGTAAAGTTTTACAGTGCAAAAGTCTCATGAGACCTTTATAGCTGGGATGGAGTGGCGTCCTTTTCTTATAGGGAGGCCAGGGATTTCCAGGGAATTTTCCACTCTGTTTTAAACTGTAAAAATAAAACAATACTAAAATTAGATGATAGACTCAAGATTAAAATGTAATTTAAATAGTGATTCCATAGCTTCATCACACACTATATATGTTACTTTAGCACTTTTTGGAATAGCCTTAGGTACAGATCATAACTTCCTCTACCTTTTTCTGGATGTATCATATTATTGATTCATTACCATTGAACTCACAGCCAACAGCACTGTAACAGCCTGAATAAAGCTTATCTGACAACAAATTTTCTCTGTAAGGCACATTAAAGCCTTCTTGCCCTCCGGAACACTAAACGGCACTGTGGCACTACACTTGGGGACCATTTTAAACAACGAAATCACCAAAGGACAAAAATGCAAAAACATAGCACTAAATTGACCATGAAAAGGACACGTTTACAGTATGAGCTGAAACAAGAGGGTAGAGTTTTGCTTTGTTCCACTTCAACCTAGGTGCCCTCTGCATATCCACTGAGATCTGTGACTAACCAAGAAATTGCTCCGAGTATTGATTTCAGGCATAAACATAAATTTTACCAAGTAGCCAAATTTGCAAAATAGAATTTGCAGATAATGAGGATCAATTGTATATGACAGAATTAGCATTACAAATCAGTGAGAAAAGGATGGATTGTTCAATAAATAGTCCTGGAGCTGGTTTTCTGTAGGGGAAAAAAAATAAATAAATCACTACTTCACTCTACATATAAAAATCAACTCCAGGTGGATTAAAAATCCAAATATAAAAGTAAAACTTTAGAACTGATAAACTTTAGACAATCTAACAGAAAATCATCGAAGAATAATCCATACACCAATCTCATACCAAGAATCATGAAGGAAAATTAATAAGTTTTTTTTAAAGGCTCAACCTCACCCAGTAATCCAGAGAATGCAAGTGAGTTATACATTCAGCACTTGAAGTTAAAATGACAGAATGAACATAAATATTTAATTTTACTTTCACTCAAAACTCCAATAAAAATATAGTAATGGTATTTCTTAAAGGATGAAAAGCACCAGGATGAAGAAATTCCAAAAAAAAAAAAAATATGCAAACTTTTGTCAATCGGAAAGCAAATGGATACATGTTGACTCTAGTAAACCTAAGAAAGCCAAATCACAGGAAGGCAATGCGGACAGCTGAGAATCAACCCCAATTACACTGCAGAATCCTCAAAAGGCTCAGAAACTGGAAACATCTGGTTCTTCAATAACTGGAGTTGGGGAGATAGGAGGCTAAAATAAGGATTGCATGAAAACTGCTTCTCCCCCACCCCAACAGAATTCTGGCTAGAGAATTCATCTCTGGAGAAGGTAAAACGCAAGCACAGTCAAGGGTAGGAGGATGGGCGATTAAAATCATCGTATGCCTAGAACGTCCATGTGTCCTTTGAGAGCCACGGAGATTTCACCCTCTTTATGCAAATTCCTTCTTAGAAATCTTTGTCTCTGAAGTTTTCTTAAGCTATGGTATTGACCTAAAACAATAGGAGGAGGTATGGCCAAGACCAAACTGCTTGAGTCCCATTATTCTTGCATTTGGAATACTCTCTATGGCAGAATGTATTGTTGTTCCCAACTGTTGGATCACTTCCTTAAAAGAGGAATATGCCATATGACATGAGGTGCCTCACTGCTGGTACATTACATATTTCCACCCCATCACCAGGCTTAATGTGAGCCAGCAGAATGTGAGAAAAATGACAGAGGAAAAAAAAGAAAGTCATCATATGCATTTTGACTCAGAGCACTTAGGCTCTGACTCCATTCAGTTCACAAAATAATGGCAGCCAGACCATTACCTTCTAGGCAATATTTGAAAATACTTCTCTGAGGAATCTGACAAAACCAAAAAGGAAGTTCTAAAGAGACTAACATAAGGGCTTCTCAACAAACCTGCCTGCCCAAATCACACCATGTTAAAGCTCAGAATCTACAAAGATCCACCAAGGCACGGAGAGCTCTTCACCACAAGCAGCCAGAATTATCAGACATCCAAAGAATGCAGCTAACATAAAAGCTAGAGACTGAACAGTAGAAAACTCAACTTAGAGGAAACAAATATCATGTAGGGAGGGGGAAAAAATCTTAAAAATAATAAATTACAAGGAGAGGCAACATGGTTTCCTGTTACATGGGTTTGGAAGGGGAAAGTCAGTACAGCCCACATACCCCGTGTTAGCAGAATTTCCTGACATCTATATGAGGTGAGAACACCTAGAAATAGGAAAGAATGAATTCATAGTTTGGTCTCCCTATAGGAGATGATTTTTCCTGAATATCTTCTGAGACAAGGACAGGAAAAGTTGACCTTTTCAGCATTTCAAGATCCTTCTGCCTGTGGGTATGTTAGGAGCAAAGGCATATTCTCAAGATGCTGATGTGATTCCTCAACGTAATATCGATGAGAAAATGACCCAGACAAGACGAAGAAGAGGAGGAAATGGCAGCTTCTCAGGGACTGTTGACATTCCAGGATGTAGTCATAGAATTTTCCCAGGATAAGTGGGAATTTCTGGACAGCACTCAATGGGAATTGTACAGGGATGTGATGTTAGAGAACTATAAAAACGTGGTCTCCTTGGGTCCTGTCTCTAAGCCAGACCTGGTCACCTTTATGGAGCAAAAGAAGGGTCCCTGGGATGTGAAGGGAATGCAGACAATAGCCATACACCCAGGAACTGGGGACCCCACCCAGGTGGAGGATGGTGACTTCAGGCTGAGCATAAGATTCCTGGGGCACCACCCTGTTTCCTCACCACCAACCAACCAGAAGAAAGTCACACACCCTGCAGCCCTCACCCCATATTTTGCCTATAAAAACTTCTCCCTGAAAACCATGGGGGAATTTGGGGTTTTTTACAGCACAAGCCACCTGTTGTCTTTGCTTAGCCCTGCAATAAACCTTTCTCTGCTCAAAAAAAAAAAAAAATTACCATCAACATACCAAAGAAATGAATTGCATCTATGATTCAAGAAGAGGATGCCATTAAGTTTGCTTTAAAAAAAAAAAACCGGTTTCTATATAAAACTATAGTGGCTACATATAAGCATAATTTTCAAAGCAATCTCAATAGCCTATGATTAAATGTTTCAACTATTCTATTTCATTTAGCATAGAAAAGCAATTTTTAGTTTTTATTTTATTTCTTTGTTTGCTTTAAGCACTAGGCCCCTAAATACGCAGCACCTAGATTAATAAAGTGCTCTGAAATAAAGGTTATATATTTGTTCAAGGCAGCAGGTAATACGCCATTCTGACTGCTCTTTTCAAAATCATTAATGAAATAATGCAAATGAAAAGCTACATGACAACAAAAAAAAATTTTAAGTGACTCAAACCAACACTTAATTACTGACTAGCTTGAGACATAAATGACATATATAAACTCATACATCATACTTTAAAACATGGGCCAGCAGCCATTAACTTTCAAGATGGGAGATGGGAAGTAACAGAAATATCAGAAATTACAGTTCAAAAAGATTTGCTTTCCAGCTGAATTTAAAGTAACCACTATATAAAAATCACACTTGTCTTTTGGAAATGGTCTAGACAATAGTTCCAACACCGCCATTAACAAACGTATTTCACTGAACTTCTCTGTACCACAATATCCTCACATGTAAAATATAACAATGAATTGAATGGATGGTTTTCCAACTGTTGGTTTGTTTTTGTTCTTGTTGTTTTTTGGTTTTGTTTTTTTCATTTTAAAAGCTGAATTGCCCATTAAGGGGTATTTGGAAGGGAGTGAGGAAAACGGGATGAGCCACCTCCACTCTCTTAGGCCTTCTGTTGCTGTTGCCCAACCCCCTCTTCCAGTGATGGCTCCAAAGACATTTCTACAGAAGCTGGAGAGAAGATCTTGAAGGGCTTTTCCAGCAATAAGATCCTAAAATTCTAAAGGTCTAAACATCACACAATGAAAATGGCTTATTTTCACTTAAACTCTCAGCACAAAAAAATTTTAAGAAACTTACTTTTCATTCATTTAGCAATTACTGATTATCTACAAAGTGCCCTGCATCAAGGTAGATTCTAAAGACATAATAGCAGGACTTCCCTGGTGGTGAAATGGTTAAGAATCCGCCTGCCAAAGCAGGGGATAAGGGTTTGAGCCCTAGTCCGGGAAGATCCCACATGCTGTGGAGAAACTAAGCCCATGTACCACAACTACTGAGCCTATGCTCTAGAGCCCACGAGCCACAACTACTGAGGCCGTGTGCCACAACTACTGAAGCCCGCGCATCTAGAGTGCATGCTCCGCAAAAAGAGAAGCCACCACGATGAGAAGCCTGTACACTGCAACGAAGAGTAGCCCGCTCGCCACAAGAAGAAAAAACCTGCACGCAGCAACAAAGACCCAGCACAGCCAAAATAAATAAATAAATAGAGAGGGACCTTCGAGATGGCAGAAGAGTAAGACGTGGAGATCACCTTTCTCCCCACAAACACATCAGAAATACATCTACGTGTGGAACAGCTCCTACAGAACACCTACTGAATGCTGGCAAAAGACCTCAGACTTCCCCAAAGGCAAGAAACTCCCCACATACCTGGGTAGGGCAAAAGAGAAAAGAAAAAAACAGAGACAAAAGAATAGGGACGGGGGCTTCCCTGGTGGCGCAGTGGTTGAGAGTCTGCCTGCCGATGCAGGGGACACGGGTTCATGCCCCGGTCCGGGAAGATTCCACATGCTGCGGAGCAGCTAGGCCCGTGAGCCATGGCCGCTGAGCCTGCGCGTCCAGAGCCTGTGCTCCACAATGGGAGAGGCCACAACAGTAAGAGGCCCCCGTACCACAAAAAAACAAAACAACAACAAAAAGAATAGGGATGGGACCTGCATCTAGGGGAGGGAGCTGTGAAGGAGGAAAAGTTTCCACACACTAGGAAGCTCCTTCACTAGCAGAGACGGGGAGTGCGCAGGGGGGTAAGCGTCAGAGTCACAGAGGAGTGCAATAACAGAGGTGCAGAGGGCAAAGCAGAGAGATTCCCGCACAGAGGATCAGTGCCAACCAGCACTCACCAGCCTGAGAGGCTGGTCTGCTCACCAGTGGGGACAGGTTGGGGGCTGGGAGTTGAGGCTCCTGCTTCAGAGGTCAGATCCCAGGGAGAGGACTGGGGTTGGCTGCATGAACACACCATGAAGGGGGCTAGTGCACCACAGCTAGCCAGGAGGGAGTTCAGGAAAAAGTCTGGACCTGCCTAAGAGGCAAGAGACCATTGTTTTGGGGTGTGTAAGGAGAGGGGATTCAGAGCACCACCTAAATGAGCTCCAGAGACGGATGCAAGCCACAGCTATTGGCGTGGACACCACAGACGGGTATGAAGCGCTAAGGCTGCTGCTGTAGCCACCAAGAAGCCTGAGGGCAATCACAGGTCACCAACCATACCTCCCCTCCCGGGAGCCTGTGCAGCCCGCCACTGCCAGGGTCCCCAAGATCCAGGGACAACTTCTCCAGGAGAACACACTGTGCGCCTCAGGCTGTTGTAACATCACGCCTGCCTCTGCCGCCGCAGGCTCACCCCACATTCCGTACCCCTCCCTCCCCGTGGCCTGAGCGAGCCAGAGCCCCCTAATCAGCTGCTAGTTCAACCCCATCCTGTCAGGGCGGGGAATAGACACCCTCAGGCAACCTACATGCAGAGACAAGGCCAAATCCAAAGCTGAACCTCAGGAGCTGTGCAAACAAAGAAGAGAAAGGAAAATTTCTCCCAGCAGCCTCGGGAGCAGCAGATTAAATCTCCACAATCACCTTCAAGTACCCTGCATTTGTAGAATACTTGGATAGACAACGAATCATCCCAAACTTGAGGTGGTGGAATTTGGGAACAACTGTAGACTTGGGTTTGCTTTCTGCATTTGTTTCTGATTTTATGTAAATCTTAATTTAGTATTTAGGGCTTATTATCACTGGTAGATTTGTTTATTGATTTGGTTGCTCTCTTTTTATATATATATATAGATAGATAGATATTGTTTCCTTTTTCTCTTTTTGTGAGTGTGTATGTGTATGCTTCTTTGTGTGATTTTGTATGTATAGCTTTGCTTTTACCATTTGTCCTAGGGTTCTGTCTGCCTGTTATTTTTTTGTTTGTGTTTTAATTTTTATTCTTTAGTATAGTTTTTAGTGCTTGTTATCATTGGTGGATTTGTTTTTTGGTTTAGTTGCTCTCTTCTTTCTTTCTTTTTTTTTAAAATTACTCTTGTATTTTTTATTTTTAATCATATTTTTAAATTTTTTTTTTAATAATTTTATTTTTTTTCCTCTTCTTTCTTTCTTTTTTTTTCTCCCTTTTCTTCTGAGCCACGTGGCTGACAGGGTCTTGGTGCTCTGGCCGGGTGTCAGGCCTGAGCCTCTAAGGTGAGATAGCCCAGTTCAGGACACTGGACCACCAGAGACCTCCCAGCTCCACGTAAATTCAAATGGAGACAGCTCTCCCAGAAATCTCCATCTCAACGCTAAGAGCAGCTCCACTTAATGATGAACAAGCTACAGTGCTGGACACCCTATGCCAAACAGCTAGCAAGACAGAAACACAACCCCACCCATCAGCAGAGAGGTTGCCTAAAATCATAATAAGGTCACAGACACCCCAAAACACACCACCAGACACGGTTCTGCCCACCAGAAAGACAAGATCCAGCCTCATCCACCAGAACACACACACTAGTCCCCTCCACCAGGAAGCCTACACAACCCACTGAACCAACCTTAGCTACTGGGGGCAGCCACTAAAAACAATGGGAACTACGAACCTGCAGCCTGCAAAAAGGAGACCCCAAACACAGTAAGTTAAGCAAAATGAGAAGACAGAAAAACACACAGCAGATGAAGGAGCAAGGTAAAAACGTATCAGACAAAACGAATGAAGAGGATATAGGCAGTCTATCTGAAAAAGAATTCAGAGTAATGATAGTAAAGATGATCCAAAATCTTGGAAATAGAATGGAGAAAATTCAAGAAACGTTTAACAAGGACATAGAAGAATGAAAGAGAAAACAATGATGAACAACACAATAAATGAAATTTAAAATTCTCTAGAAGGAATCAACAGCAGAATAACTGAGGCAGAAGAACAGATAAGTGACCTGGAGGATAAAATAGTGGAAACAACTACTGCAGAGCAGAATAAAGAATGAAAAGTATTGAGAACAGTCTCAGAGACCTCTGGGACAACAATAAATGCACCAACATTCGAATTATAGGGGTCCCAGAAGTAGAAGAGAAAAATAAAGGGACTGAGAAAATATTTGAAGAGATTATAGTTGAAAACTTCACTAGTATGGGAAAGGAAATAGTCAATCAAGTACAGGAAGCACAGGGAGTCCCATACAGGATAAATCCAAGGAGAAACACTCCAAGACACACATTAATCAAACTGTCAAAAATTAAATATAAAGAAAAAATACTAACAGCAGCAAGGGAAAAACAACAAATAACATACAAGGGAATCCCCATAAGGTTAACAGCTGATCTTTCCGCAGAAATTCTGCAAGCCAGAAGGGAGTGGAAGGACATATTTAAAGTGGTGAAAAGGAAAAACCTACAACGAAGATCACTCTACCCAGCAAGGATCTCATTCAGATTTGATGGAGAAATTAAAACCTTTTCAGACAAGCAAAAGCTAAGAGAATTCAGCACCACCAACCCAGTTTTACAACAAATGCTAAATGAACTTCTCTAGGCAGGAAACACAAGAGAAGAGAAAGACCGACAATAACAAAACCAAAACAATTAAGAAAATGGTAATACGAACATACGTATCGATAACTACCTTAAATGTAAATGGATTAAATGCTTCAACTAAAAGACACAGACTGGCTGAAGGGATACAAAAACAAGACCTGTATATATGCTGTCTACAAGAGACCCACTTCAGACCTAGGGACACATATACACTGAAAGTGCGTGCATGGAAGAAGATATTCCATGCAAATGGAAATCAAAAGAAAGCTGGAGTAGCAATTCTCATATCAGACAAAATAGACTTTAAAATAAAGACTATTCCAAGAGACAAAGAAGGACTCTACATAATGATCAAGGGATCGATCCAAGAAGAAGATATAACAATTGTAAATATTTATGCACCCAACAGAGGAGCACCTCAATACATAAGGCAAATGCTAACAGCCATAAAAGGGGAAATCGACAGTAACACAATCATAGGGGACATTAACACCCCGCTTTTACCAATGAACAGATCATCCAAAATGAAAATAAATAAGGAAACATAAGCTTTAAATGATATTTTAAACAAGATGGACTTAATTGGTATTTATAGGACATTCCATCCAAAAACAACAGAATACACTTTCTTCTCAAGTGTTCATGGAACATTCTCCAGGATAGACCATATCTTGGGTCACAAATCAAGCCTTGGTAAATTTAAGAAAATTGAAATCGTACCAAGTATCTTATCCAAACACAACACTATGAGACTAGATATCAATTACAGGAAAAAATTTGTAAAAACCACAAACACATGGACACGAAACAATATGCTACTAAATAACCAAGAAATTACTGAAGAAATCAAAGAGGAAATCAAAGAATACCTAGAAACAAATGACAATGAAAACATGACGACCCAAAACTGATGGGATGCAGCAAAAGCAGTTCTAAGAGCAAAGTTTATAGCAATACAATCCTACCTCAAGAAACAAGAAACATCTCAAATAAACAACCTAACCTTACAGCTAAAGCAATTAGAGAAAGAACAACAAAAAAACCCAAAAGTTAGCAGAAGGAAAGAAATCATAAAGATCAGATCAGAAATCAACGAAAAAGAAATAAAGGAAACAATAGCAAAGACCAAAAAAACTAAAAGCTGGTTCTTTGAGAAGAAAAACAAAATTGATAAACCATTAGCCAGACTCATCAAGAAGAAAAGGGAGAAGACTCAAATCAATAGAATTAGAAATGAAAAAGGAGAAGTAACAACTGACACTGCAGAAATACAAAGGATCATGAGAGATTACTACAAGCAACTATATGCCAATAAAATGGACAACCTCAAAGAAATGGACAAATTCTTAGAAAAGCACAACCTTCTGAGACTGAACCAGGAAGATATAGAAAATCTAAACAGACAAATCACAAGCACTGAAATTGAAACTGTGATTAAAAATCTTCCA